CGTCTCTCTCTCTCTCTCTCTCTCTCTCTCTCTCTAATACATGTTGTAGCACCTAGTTTTGGCCACATTGCCATTTGAACTTAATGGTTTTGCGGCAGAAAAGGGGTGCGGTTTGTATAGAGCCCAGGGCCTAAACAATCAAAGTAAAGCGTATCTTCGAATAGTTTTATAAAATATAGTTTAAATACTGGAAACCTATGTGATAGCTTTGAAATATATTTTTATCTCTAAATATAAATTTACAGATTAAAAAATAGTGTAGATCGAACACACATATAAAAACTTGAAAATTAACCGTCCAAAAATGTATTACAAGGTGCACTATTTTCAAAACTTGAATTCCATGCTTTTCTCACGTCATACAGCTTGAAGTCGAGATGATCAATTTGAAGATATTTGAGCATCGAAATGTCATTTTTTTAGTGATAATTTTGAAGTGCATCTTAATTTAATTGTTTAGAGTCTCATCATTATGTACACTTTTTTCTATAGGGAAATTGGAAAATCAATGTCGTGCTTCTTGATTTTGTAGCTCTGGTATTCGGCTTAAAAAACATTGGGTGAGAAGGGTGCGTGGGATTTTGCAAAGGATGAGGGGTTCGATGTGGTGGCCATAAATCCAGAAGCAGTGTTTGGCTCAATTTTACCACCCACCATCAATTCTAGCATGGCCATTTTCCTTCGCCTCCTTCAAGGTATAACACTATACGAAGATGGTAAAATATAAAAAAAAGGAGTCCAAACCCTTTAAAATATGAGTAAACGGAAAAAGTTATATTGAAAGGGTATTGTTTTTAAATTTGGGTGGGGTACACCTCCAAATTTTTTTTTTGATGGTGCTCAATATTTTGTTTTTTGTTTCTTTTTAATATTCATACATATCAATATTGAGATGATCAATTAGAGGGTTTTTCAACATTAAAACAAAATTTCCCGATGGATTTTTGTGGTGCATCTTTAATTCTACATTTTAAAGGTGCAATTTAGTATAAAATTTTTACTTTAAATTTTTATCTCAATTAGGTACTCAATCAAAGAAACTTGAAAAATTACTAAATTGCCCATTTAGTATTGGAAAGTGAATACAATCAGGGTAGCTTTTGTAATCTTACCCTAAAAAGGCCTAAATCGAATGATAGAAGTACATCTTGGGGGTAAGATTACCAAAGTGCCTTAATTATAGTGACTTCCCAATACTAAATATAGATAAATTTGGAATTTTTTAATATTTTTGAGGAAGTACCTAATTGAAATGCAAATTTAACTGCATACCTTTCAATGTTATTTTTTAATCTTTTGATCCTTTATTGATATTTTAAAGGGTTTGAACCCCTTTTTTGATATTTCCCCTAGGAATAAACTTTTACTCACTATACACAAACATCATATATTTCCTATGTTTTTTTATGTAGAGAGTTCAAGAAAACTCTTATATTCAATGTTTGAAAACCCAACGATCATCATCACCATTATCATCCAAGCCTTATCTCAATTAATTGGAGTCGGTTACATGGATCTTGTTCTTCCATTCTTCTTTATCTAGGGCCAACAGAATTAGGATATGTGATAAGATATGACTAAATTTTACACTGGTTGCCTACCTAACGCAGCCTACCTACTATACCTGGGCTTGAGACAGGTTAAGAGAAAGTTTAAGGGCTAGCAATCCGGATTGGAACTGTTGAGCCGGAATGAGAATCAAACTTCGCATCTTCAAAATCAAAAGTCACTCTTGACTTGGGATTTTGAATATCCAAAGTGACTTGGGAATCTCTATTTCCATGCAACTGCGTGTCGAGGATTGATGTCTTGTATTATGAAAAAATATATCTGCCAAGGTGGAGTCAAAGAGATGACTTCGGAGGGCCGTTAAAAGTCAACAAAGTCAACCGTATGACTATGGATATGCGCCTTCAAAAAAAGAACAATAGGACAATGGATATTGAATATTCAAAGTCATTTATGATTTTGGATTTTCAATCTCAAGAGAGGGTAAAACTGGTATAAAAACAACAGAGAAAAGGGATATGCCCCATTTCCCCCTTCCCCCCCTCTTGTGACAAGAGTCTTGTCTCCCCTTACCCTGTGTCGGGCCCAAAAGAAAAATAAAAGGAACAAAATAAAAAATATTTTACTTTTCTAATATTTTTCTAGATTGCCAACTCGGATTGGTGATCCAAAATGGATATGTGAGGTGGACAATCCCCAATGATCCATGATCCCAAACACGACTTAAGTTAGACACAAGCTTGCATTCTCATAAAGAAACAAGCACATTCTTGATCATGGATATGTGCATTTGTAAGGTGATCATCCATCCTCGGTATACAATCGTGCTCAGTTTCAAAGATTTGATGTGTTTCATCCTTGAATGAATTTGGTTTTGTTTGTTTACAAATGCATGTATGTAATGTTGTGGCTGAGGCTTCTGTGACCTTGATGTGTGAGAGGGGTATATCTTTTTCAAAATCTCTCCCTTTGCTTAGTTTTATCTGCCTCTGAAACCTTCATTTCAGGATATGGCCTTTCTATGTGTGGGGATAGTCAGGGATGCTTTCTTGCAGTTTGGAACGCATTCGCGGGTTTGATTGGAGAGCAGATTCCATGGAGGTTGATATCAAGGCTCTCCTCTGTGGGATTTAGATTTTCGTTTATTCTTTCTTTAGTTCAGCCCTTTGATCAAGGAGAGGGGCAGTCTAAAGATGATATATGGGACTGAAGTGGATCCCAAAAATTTAGAACAAGAAAATACTGCTAAGTAGGTTTTTTATACTTCAATATTCACATTGATTGTATTTGCCTTCAGTCTTTTGTAACTAAGCTGTACATTGTTGGCAAGCTGCCATGCTTTTTCTCCTAGGGATGAGAAGTGGCTCATAAAAATTTGGGGGTTACTTAACCATTTTCTAATAGAGATTTCTCCTTATACTACTCTTCAAGACTCAAGACTCTTGCATTCCTTAAGAGTGATTTGACGTAATGGCTCCCTTAGCTCTTGGGGTTAATCTTTTCATTGGACCTGGACTCTAGTGTATCAAGTGTGAACATAATTGTAGACTCAATTGGCACACAAATAAGTCGGAGCATTAACCGATCGAAGAAAAGAAGCGATTACATTCTTTCGTATTCTATACTTTTTGTATCACAGCATGGAACCCATGTCAATTCATGACTCTAGGGTTTCTTTGATTAAATGTAGAAAATTGTCATGCTAATGAGCTGCGAGATCAAATGTGGCAAGGGCATCTCAAATCTATTTGTATGATACAACAAATTCCATGTCAGTGACTGTACAAACAATGGGTGATATAAACACCCCAAAAAAAAAAAAAATGGAGTAAAAAAGGTTCTTCCATTTCACGTTTGGAAAAGCATGAGACCTCTGATGTGCTGTATCAAGTCTTCATGCTAGGAAAAGCATGAGACTTCCGATGTACTGTATTAAGTGCCTTAGGAGTTTTGCATCTTATCTTCTTTTGCATACATGTTCTTAAAATTTGGACTCTAATTATTTTTCTACTCAGGGACGCTTGATTGATTCATATGATATGGCCGGTTATACTGAATGTTATAAAGATTTTTTTGTGGGTGCTGTACATGTTAACGATGTGGAATTAGGGCATATCTTGTTATATGAGAATCCATCAGCTTCAGGAAGGCACTTTGAGTCCATTTGTCACTGGAGTGACTTTGCTGATGCAGTTGCTAAACTCTACCCGGTATACAAAGTGCCTAGGTAAACTCTCTCTCAGTGGACATTCTCACACGCATACATACTTACATTAATTGACCTGGATATGCCTTAATTTCTTTATGGGTTTATGTAGGTTCACGGAAGAAACTCAACCGGGGTTGTTGAGGGCGCAAAAACCATCAAAAAAGCTGATTGACATGGGCCTTAACTTCATCCCAATGGAGGAGATAATTAAGGATGCAGTGTCCAGTTTAAAAGAGAAAGGATACCTGTCTTGAAGAGGTTCTTGAGGTAAAATGCTGTATTACATATGGGCCTTAATATCATTAGAGCTTGTTTAATTAGAAGTTGAACCTGTTCAATGAAGTAACAATTCGGGATAGAAATATACTACCGCTCTTGTAGGACCCTTTAAGGGACACTGTCTGCGTCTCTGTTTGGGGCTGTGGTTTCCTTATACTTTGTTTTGAAGGCTCTGGTAGAAAGTAGAAGGCAATTGAAATGGGTCGATAACTACTGCTAAATAGAAGTGTAATTCTCTTCTTGAAGGAAACATCTACTCATAATCTATAATAAAATATTAAACGCCACATGATTCGCAGGCCATGTGGTATGCAATAAAAGTTTACACCGCCTTGGATAGAGGTTAGGAAGCCAATATAAAGGTCCTTCAGGTTAAGGTACTTGTGATTATCAAGTATTTTTCTTATCATTTACAAATATTTTATTTTTACTATAAGAGGTAGTTTCTTAATGGAAGATAATATATAGGCTGTTCAATTTATGATTTTTCTATGAGATGGAAGCTTTAGTAATTCTTTTTGACCACAAAATAATCATCCAAAATTATAGCTTGTGAGAAATTTACAATATTTAGGTTTATATCTGAACTTAGCATTTATTTTGGAATAGGATTTTCTCCTAAATTAGAGTTTTGTTTAGGGGTATGTCTTTTGAAATTAACATATTTTTTCATGAAACTACAGTTCTTGGCTTCTCTCTCTCTCTCTGTCTCTCTCTCAATGTTTTTATGGATACATCTAGAAATTAGCATGTTTTACTTTTCAATTCCTAGTTTTATTTTGGGTTATTGCTTATTGTGCTATATAATGTACAACTTCTCCAAATGTTTGAAATAATGATTTGAAAGATAATCGTTAAATTAAGAATGAGTTTTTTATTCGAAGATAATCGTCAAATTAATAGGGTGTTCAAATAAGATTTTTTTATGAGATTGAGGCTTTACTAAAAATTTTAAACGAAATCATAATCTTGCAAAAGAAATTTTTTTAAAAATTGGAAGATCAATGGGAGTTATAGGCCCCTACCGATTTTGAAAAGGGTCAATTTTTTTAAAGTGTTAGTGAGAATGGAGACCTAAACTTTAATTCGGGCTTAAGTTATAAGGGATTTACAATATTTAGGTTTATCTCCAAATTTGATATTTATTTTCGGAATAGGATTTTGAGAAATAGGCTTTTCTCCATTATAATTTTTGGGTCTAGGGTATGTCTTTAAATTTAAAAATTTTCATTATTATATTATACGTAATAATGCATTTTGCTTTTACAATATACGTGCAATGCATGTAAATTTTGCTAGTGTTAATAAAGCAGTAGAAGTCTCTAGATAGTTGCGTCATGTTAATTGATATATTCATTGATACAAAGTTTTCTAAATATTTGAGAATCTCTAGCTGCTATATAATGGATAAAACTAAATGATTTGAAGAACAGACATTGCGATAAACTGCACACAAGTGAGGTAAATTAGGTTTGATATCACTAACTTGCATTTTACAAATAAGAAGCCAACAGGCGGAGGTGCCTTGTTTGCATTTTGTAATAGAAGAATGCTAAATGAAGGATAGCATGCATGTCCTACTGTTGTATTTTATTACTGCAGCAAAGGCTCTATTTTTAGCGCAATGGCTTTCGTGCTGTCGTTTTTTGCTTTCGAGCTGTTGTACTACTCAGCATTCGACCATTTTAGTACAATAAAAAGCAAGGAAAAATTACGGAATTTCCATCTACTATAACATTCTCCCAAAAATATTCCTATTATAAAATCTCTTTCACTCATTACCCCAATAGACTTATTTATTTATTTATTTTTCACTATCCCTCAGTGCACTTTTCAACATAATTTAAGACAAATGCTTCTTGGATTTTTGATTCTTCCATCGGGGTTCCCAGGCAAGTGGCGTTGCATCTTTCACAGAAGATAAAATGATAGCGATAATGTGGTTGAGTCAGCGATCAACATTTGAGTTCTAGCCATTTCCGTGATATGTGTTTATTTTTTGTATGGGATTATGTACAATGAGACCATTTATCTTTGATACAAGGAGGTCACAATTACTTATACCTATCGAATGTGAAATCATATTGCTTGGGTGTGTTACAACGTTTGAAAAAATTTCTTTTGAAGTTTGAGTTTGGTCAATAAAATATATGTATCCAACTAATTTCACATCCAATGCTTAAGATTACTTGTGACCACCTTGTATCAAAAATAAATGGTCTCATTATATACTTTTTTAGAGTTTTGAGAGAGATGAGAGATATTTGCCTTGTTTTGAGTTTATATTATAATTTCATTTATTAAGGGCATTTAAATGAAAGGGCATTTTCATTGTAAATTATGTATGGGGGAGTGAAAAGAAGACGTTTCAAGAGGGGTATTTTTAGGAGAATGTTACATTTTGCAGTGGCCAGCCAGCTGACACTTTATTTCAAGTGATTTAGTTAAGGACAAAGGTTATATAAGGTTGTATAGAATTATTGATGCACCTCAAACTCTATCGGAAAATGTTGTTTTAATGTTGAAAAAACCTTTAATTAATCATCTCGACATTGAGATGTATGAATGTGAAAAATAAATAAATTTGAAGTCCCAAAAGTAGTGCATCTTGCAATATATTATCTAGACCGTCCTTTTTCAAGATTTTCATATGTTTATAGATTTACTTGATTTTAAATATTTTTGGAGTTTAAAATTGTATAATTAGATATGAAAATAAATTTGGAGATAATCCAAAGAATTTTTTCACCAAAATTTGTGCGCCTTAAATAGATTGTTTAAGGTTCCAACGTTATAGAAACCACACCCTTTAGTTAAGATTGTGCTTTTTAGAGCAAAAATTAACTAGCGGTAGGCTTATCGATATCATAGAAGTAATTTTATTATCTCGTTTTCGGGTCCTTCCAATATTACAAACTGCTAACGAGGCGGAAGCCAGAGGGTTGCTAGAGCGTATAAAACTTATTTTTTCGCTAGAGGGAGAATAGAGGGAGACTCGATTAATGTTATTGCTTGGGGGAGGGAGAATAGAGGGAGACTCGATCAATGTTATTGCTTGGGGGAGGGAGAATAGAGGGAGACTCGATTAATGTTATTGCTTGGGGTAAAGGTGAGTCTGTATCACCCTGGAGACAGATGAGATAACTCTTGTCTAGGCTCTCAGCTTATCTTTTTCACTGTAGAAGCCACTTCTTAGGCAAATTCGCTTGGAAAAGGTAGTGTCCATCAATCCTCGTTGGTGGTCGCTGCATTCTTTTAATCTTTTTTAGTCTTTATTTTCTATGTATATATAATTTTTATTTTAATGGAAGGCTAATTAAAATAAAATAAAACAATTGGTGTTTCTGGCTTTGGACCTTTAATATTTGAAATAGAGGTAATATGAAAAAAATAGGTATGGACATTATTAAATCTCTAAGAGGGAATTTTAAATAATGGTAAGTCAGCAGAATATTTGCTTAATTTTTCCTATATGTTGCAAAGCCTTTTAAATATCCATTATAAACTTTTGGAGAACATGTATTGTTGTATTGTATTCTAATTCTATTTTTTCTCTAAATTGGATTAAGCTCAAATTTTGGGTCCATACAGAAAGTGCGTCCAATGTGATCTTTTGTTGGGAAATAAGTTTTTTTTTTTGTAATAATAATACCCTTTTTGTTTTGGCAAGAGCTCACTTACAATAACAATTTACTATGTACAAGAATATAAAGATGAATCTGTAAAAAAAGATAAGAGTGGTAAGTGTCGGAGATTGCTTCAACTAGGCTTATTACACCTCACATCGAGTCACCACCATGCAATAGCGCGGGATCGACCGTATTAGTTCAATCTCAACCGAGAAAGCTAATTTCGGCCAAGCTCAAATTTCGACCAAGTTCTTCAATGAAATCCTTATGCTCAATCGGGAAAGCTAATATCGGCCAAGCTCAACCGAGAAAGCTAATTTCGACCGAGCTCAATTGGAAAAGCTAATTTCGGCCAACCTCTTCATCCAAGCTCTTCAATAACTAATTTCAGCCAACCTCTTCAATAAAATCCTTATACTCACGCGAAACTCTTTAGTATCAATGCTAAAAAAACTACTTTAAAATATCTCCTTTTTAATTTTTCTAAATCCCAAAATTAGGGAGGGAAAAGAATGCCCTGAGAATGTGAGGGTGTATCCCTTCCCTTTTAGATAATGTTGAGGAGAGAGAGAATTGGGTTGTGGCTCCCGTCCTTTTTTTTTTATTTTGATAAAGATGGAGAATAAAAGAGATAAAGTTGAGAGAAAAGGAGGCATGCCTCTCCTTTTTATGGATAAAGTAAGAGAGAGAAGGAGTGGGCATGAGACCCCTTTTATGGATAAAACAAGAGAGAAAGGGAGTAGGCACGTGACTTTCTTTTTTTTACTTTTAGATAAAAGTTGTTAGAGTAGGAATTGTATGAAACATGCGATAGAGTGAAACACATGTAAGAGAGGAGAAAGATAGGACCCCATTAAAATTGGGCTTTGGATTTTCATTGTTTGCCTCATAAAATTAATTTTAACCATTGATTAAAGGTGATTTGTGGGGTGAGAGATATGATCCATTAATTCCTTAGATGGATTATCAATATTAGGAAATGTGTCTAACTATTATCCCCATTTCCTTTGACCATTATCTTATCAAATAAAAATTAAGTAATTAAAATATTATGTTCATATAAAATATATCCATAAGCTTTATCAGGTATTCTAAAAAATTTTACTTAAATCTCTTAAAGATAAAATACTTTATCAACTCAAACCAATTTGATATAAAATATCAACAAATCCCATAAAGAAGTGACTTGCCACCTAAGACAGGGACTTTTGGGCCTCACCTTCTAAAATATAGTGGACCCACGTGCACAATAGGCTCCATAGAATTTCATATTTTTAAAAATAATAATAAAATAAATTTTAAAATATTATTTGAATATTTAAATCATTAAAAAAATAATATCTATTTTTATAAACACAAATTTTTTAAATAAAATATCCAGAGATTTATAAAAATTCAAATATCAATTTTAAAATAATATCTACCATAAAAGAAACATAATTAAATTAATTTGATAGGAAAAT